GGTTCAATGACCATGGGATTACTGTGCTTGATTGGCCAGCAAACTCGCCTGACCTGAACCCCATAGAGAATCTATGGGGCATTACCAAGAGAAAGATGGGGGACATGAGACCGAACAATGCAGCGGAGCTGAAGGCCACTACTGAAGCATCCTGTCTTCCATAACACCTCAGCAGTGCCACAGGCTGATAGCATCCATGCCACACCGCATTGCAGCAGTCATTGCTGCAAAAGGGGCCCAAACCAAGTACTGAGTACATATGCATGCTTATACTTTGCAGAGGTCCGATATTGTTCTATTTCCAATCCTTGTGTTATTGATGTCATGTAATATTCTAATTTTCTGAGATTGTGAATTTGGGGTTTTCATAAGCTGTACGCCATAATCATCACAATTATACCAAAGTAAGGCTTGACATATCTCGCTTTGCATGTAATGCGTCTATCTCATATATTGGTTTCACCTTTTGAGTTGCCATACTGACATAAATGAACATTTGCACGATATTCTAATTTTTCGAGTTTCACCTGTAGAAATAGGCACATAAGTAAACTGTTATAGGTATAGTGCTTCAAAATAAGTAGGTATCACAATTTTGTTTCAGTAAAAGTTATTTTTGAACTTTAAAAACTTCTCTTGTAACAAAGGAAAGGATAAACAACACTCCTTGTCTGTGGTCTGTACCATTCCCCACAAAGAACCCATCTTTGGTAAGTAAAAGGGTTTATTTTAAAATTCATGTTCTGGGGAGTGCAGTTTCCTGAGCCAGTAGGTCAAAGAGAATCTTTTGCTTTCAAGGATGTCTGTCTGTTTTGATTGATGTTAAGGAAGATGGGCCTGCCAATATAACAGCATCTGGCTAATATTCCCCCATCGTACTGATTTTGTTGCAAAAGAGTTTCTTGAGGTGGCAGCAAGGATTTTGTTTGTAGTCTTTTTGACTTGGGATAAAGTACAAAAATGTAGAATTTTTATTTAAGTTTACAATTTTAAGAATTTACTCACATAAACTTGCAGAGTGTTGTGTATCATTTCCTTAGTGGGGTTCAGGTTCTGAAAATAAGGAGAGTTCCACCTGTGCACTTACACAATAAAAAGTTGTTTTCATATGTGCAGTGTTTTCATCATGTATAAATACACAAGTATAAATCAAATATTTTAGTAGAATATTAAATAACATGCCTCAGAACAAACCAACAATCTATGTAGAACTAATAGTTTGTTCAAATGACCTCATCCTGAACAATTTAAACATTTTAACAGCAGAATCCATATGCCATATTGCTTTTTGAGGTCCGCTTGGCTTCAGATAAGGTCTATACTGAAGAAAGTGATGTTTCCTGCTAATATTAGTGATATTGGAGAGAAACCTGTCTGCAGATACTTGACACCCTCTGAGTTTTCATGATGAAGTTTAGTGTATTATGAAAATGCATTTTCTTTTTTATAATTTCATCAGTCTGAAACAGAAAATTACTGTCTTAGACACACATATATAATTAAATATTTACTCCATTTTCATGCTGCTCTCTCACAAAACTCAGGATGGTACACAAAACAAAAAAAGAACAATAAAAAACAGTTATCAATCCCTAATAATAAAACAGCATAAAATCCATAATTCCTAAAACATATTGCTAAAGGTTCCGCCCCCACCCCAAATTTTATTCACTGGTTTCCAAAACGCAAGAAGTATAGGGGCCAGGTGTACCTCTGGGGACAAGAATGGGGACCAATACAGAGAATGGCTGCCTATGGGACTACACCATTTTTTACTTTTCACAGGGTTGGAATCCTCAGCAGGCCATCCCTAGATGCATATACAGGACACACAGACTCATGCTGGATACAATAATCCCTGATTTATCTTTACTGCTATCTGCTGTCATTTTTTGGAAAAAAAACCTAAAAACATAAAGAGGTTCTCCATTTATCTTTATTTTCCAAATGTATATTCATTCTTCAGTAAATCCTATATTGCTTAGTAGCTTCTCATACAAGATTAATGTAGAAAAGCTATGGACAGAAAACAGTCAACTGGTGACTGTAGGTACTGTATACCAAGGTCCACAGATTTTCAGGGTAAACTGAGCTTCCGCAGAATTCTGCTCTGCACACAACTGAGCCTCATGAGTCAGTCTGATAAGTAGTCTTGTTCTTCATCTGTATTCATCAATAATTATTCTAGTCATGTTTTCTTCCAACATGATAACACGATCAGGCAAACCCAGAAGATCAAAAAGGAAAGAAGTGATAAAATATAAAGTGAGCATTAAGCCACAACTTCTTATCTTCCAATCCCCCATTTAATTATCATGAGGTTCTTGCTAACTCAGTTTTCCCTGACAAACTTTAAACAAAGGAGAATAGGATTGTCTGCAAAATTAAATTTTGCTTTGTTTTTTTAAATCTCCTTTCTGTCCTTTTGTATCAACCGTTATGTCCTTTATAAATGAGGGAGCCCAGAGTAGAGGAGGACCATGAATATAAGTATCCCAAAATTGCTTTGACTAAAACATTTACTATATTTTGGTAGGAGACCAAGTTTCCCGGCTCTTTTTCATAAAATGTTGACTATTTATAACCCAGTTTGATAGACTTATTTGGCTACCAAACAGTCTTTGGGCCCTGAAATTAGCTGATGAGAGGTAAGTGAAGATTTTGAATCATTTATAGATATATACATACCTAACAGTTTTAAAGGGGAGGACGTAGCAGATTTTATAAGGCACTGCATATAAATGATTTTATTTTCTGCATGTTGTTATGATATAGGCCATTTTGTCCCCATTGTGTTTCCTTCCTATATCTCTTTTTCTATCATAATGCTATATGTTCTTTATTTACTTGCAGTAAACCCTCACTAGACTTGCATCTGGGATAGAAAATAAAGGGTAAACAAGCTAAATTGACCAAGTACAAGTATTTTGGTATGGGATCTAGCTAAGATGTATTTTATTTTCCTGTCTTACCAAATTTATTTGCAATCTCTTCTGTGTCTAATAGATTATAAGCACACCACGAAGATTGACCAGTTCAGGGAGCATTCTGATTGGAAATCCATATACTGTACCACTGGCCATGGTTACACAGACACATATAACAGAAGCTGCTGGCTGGATCCCTGGGTAAAAAAATTTAGTATGGCTTATCTAATAGTTGCATCTTAAATATGCAGGTAGTCCTTGCTTACCGACCACTTGTTCAGCGACCATTCAAAGTTGCAACAGTGCTGAATGAGTGGTACTTATGACCAATCCTCAAAATTCCAGGCATTGCACCACCCCTGTAGTCACGTGATCGTGATTCAGGGACTTGGCAACCAGCTCGTACTTATGATGGTTGCAGTGCCTCATGGTCATGTGATCACCATTTGTAACATTCCCTGCTGGCTTCCCATAAGCAAAGTCAATGGAGAAGCCGGCAGGGAAGGTTTCAAATCTTTCTGGTAAATCCTCCTGTTTCCCTGCGCTCGCACGATGCTGCATCTTGCTTCCCCGACTTCTGTTTGCTTGCACCATGCCCTGCTTCCCCCAGCCTCCCTTCGCTCACACACCACCTGTGCCAGGCCTCCCAGGGACTCCCCCAGCCTCCCCCCGACTTTCCCCATGGCACCCCCTGTTCCTTACCTGGGACTCCTGGTGCTTTCTGCTTAACAATCTGCACGTCTTGGGGTTATGACAGCAGCCAGGATTGCCCAGATTGTCATTGCTATGCAATGCAGTCACATGACATCACACTTTACAACCACATTGCTTAGCGACTGCAATTCTGGTCCCAATTGCTGTCGTAATCTGAGGTCTACCTATAGTTTCTTGATAGATTAGAAAATCTACCAGTTTGTTATGCACTATTTGACCTTTGTATTAAAAATGTTGATATTTAACTAGTCAAAGCTCATTATATTATATAATTGTATATATGGGATGATAGGGAAGAATGAATGTTATTTGTGCAATTAAAACAAACCAGACGACTACATTTTCTTTTGAATGTACAATACAGGTAGACCTCGCTTAGTGACTGCCTCAGGCAGTGACCGAAATTACGACACTGATGAAAAAGTAACTTTGCAACCAATGCCTGCATTTATGACCTTTGCAGTGTCTCTCTCAGTCACCATTACAGTCAGTTAGTACAAGACTTTCTTTGTTTGCCTCTTTGTTTGCCTCCTAAGTGGCTCAGGGCTCTGAGCTGGGAGCACACTGAGCAAACTGGGTGCTAGTGCATTTCTGTCAGTGCATATTCCCCATCATGTACCTGATTACTCTCTTGTAATCCCTTCGTCTCCAGTGAATGTAAATGCAAATAATTCCCTTCTTGTTAATTATTCCAGCTCAGGAGTGAGCATTCCAGAGGGCAGGGGAATGGGGAAAACAGAAAGCTGAAGTAAAATCCTAAGTGCAGTTGCGGTCATGTGCTTTTCCACTTAGTGACCACATTATTTAGTGACCAAGTTGCCAGTCCCAGTTGTGATCGCTAAATGAGGACTACCTGTATCATCTTTGCATCCCTGAAAAATGTGTGTTAGTCTGAAACACGAGGAAGGATCAATACTTTTTGAAGTGAGAAATAACAGCAAGGATTTTTTTAAAACATCTGGTATCTTAATCAAAATATAGCACAATCTATTCTGCAAGCAAAAATTCCCATATTGAAGAAGAAAATGGGCTGCTATGGTATGAGTCAGTGATCTGCTTAAACACAACCTAAATTGTAAAGTCCTTTGACCCATATCAAGAATAACTTCAAAGTAATGTTGTTGTTTTTTAAATTAGTACTATTATAATATAACTTAACTACATGTTTATAAAACAGTTTGTCAAGAAACCATGTCATGAATATTGTTAAATAATACAACTATATAGTTGCTGCAACATTGTTGACTTTCTTTTACCAAAGAGTTCTTGAGTGGCATCTAGTTATAATCAAAATAATATAAATTGTATCTAATTTTTTTTAGTTTGAAAATTTGGGATGTACAACTTATTTAAAAAGCTGCTATTTTATTTAAACTTAAGTTTAATCAAGATTACATTATGTTTTACTAGACATTAATTCCCCAAATTGAGCTTAATATATTAAACTAATTAATTAAGCAACTTCTTAAAATGTTCAGAATTGTGATACTTTAAACTAGGGTATAAGTTTTAGTATCTGATTTTTTAAAAGAGGATAAATGTATTTACAGGAACAGAAAACGAATACAAGACTTAATGGAATCCGATTTTTCAGAAAGGTTCGTATTGCTGTTGAAATGTATATATAGTTGCCATAGAAAAATATATGGTACGTTTTTCAAACCTGCAAAAACTTCAATACAGGTAGTCCTCACTTAATGTCCATTCATTCAGTGACTGTTTGAAGTTACAGCAATGCTGAAAAAATGGACTTGTGACCAGTCCTTGAATTTATAATCATCACAGTGGCCCTGTGGCCATGTGATAAAAATGTGGGCCACCTGCATTTTCAACCACCTTCCCTGCTGCTGCCCCCAGCTGACCTTTCTCCTTGTCCTCCTCTGCCTTCAGCAGTCTCAGCCCACCCCAAGCCCTACTTCAGCCCCAGCACTGCCATGGAGGAAGAGCCTTGGTTCCTGAAAAGCTCCAAGAGATGAGGACCCCATTGCTCGCACCCTGTCCATCTAGCATGCGCATGCTTGCGGCCTTCTCTCATTCACAGTCTTCCTGACAATGAGGAAGAGGAAGTAGAGGCCCAGGCTGAGACTGCTGAAGGCCCCAAGCCACCATTGGGCTCCAGGTCTATGTGACCTGGGTGCCTGAAAAATTGGTGCTGTAAGATTGAGGCTCTTGCAAAGGCACACTCGGTAGCTTGCATGAGGTTAGTCTGGATGAAGTGCTCCTTGCCAATCCAGCATTCACTACTGACAGCTCCAAGAGATGGGGGTCCCATTGTTGACATCCTGCCCATCTTGTGTGCATGCGCTTGCAGCCTTCTCTCTCTACAAGTAGTTCTTGCTTAACAACCATTCGTTCAGCAACCATTTGAATTTAAGATAGTGCTGAATGAAGGGACTTAAAACCCATGCCTGAAGTTATGGCTGTTGTAGCACCCTCATGGTCACCTGATCGCAATCTGGTCCCTTGGCAATCAGTTTGCACTTATGACCAAGGTTGCCAAGTGCCCTGTGATCATGTGATCACCATTTGCAATCTTCCTGCTGGCTTCCCAAGAAAGTCAGTGGGAAAACTGGCAGGGAAAGTCACAAGCTGCTGCCACCTGCCAAGAGGACTCCTTCTCATCTCTGGGGGCTGGCTGAAAAAGCTTGATGCCAAAATTCTGCTTAGATTTCGGCACAGAGATTTTTCAGACAGCCCCCAGAAATTCGCACAGACCTTTTCAGACAGTCCCTCGTCTCTGGGGGCTGGCTGAAAATGCCCCGTGTTCAAATCCAAGCAGCATTTTCAGCCATGGAGGATTTTCAGCTCCAGAGTAGAGAGGCTTCAGAAGCCTCTTGACTCTGGGGCTGAAAATCCAAGCAGTTCTGAGGCCCTCACACACCTGACTCGCACTCTCTCCCAGTCCCTTCCACATACCCCTTCCTCCCCTATCCAGCAGTGTTTCGGGCTTGCAGCTTCCTGCCGGCTTCCCCACTGACTTGAGTGTGAGAAGCCGGTAGGAACTTGCCTCACCTAATAACCTGCAATTCTTGCTTAATGATGGCAGTTGGGAGTGCCGGGATTGTAGTTGCTAAGTGAAGCAGTCACACATGATTTGCTTAACAACTGCATCACTTAGTGACCTAAATTCCCATCCTAATTGTAGTCATTAAGCCAGGACTATCTGTACTTCAGCCCCAGCAGGGAAGAGGAGGAGGTGGTGGCAAGGGGTGGGTGTGAGCCCAGCACCAATAAAGCCCCTGTACTGTGGAGCTTGAGGTGTTGGAGGGCAGAGGGGAAATCAAAGCAAAGTCGAAGAGGAGGAAGATCTGCAGCGTGGCAGCGTGAAGCCCCAGTGCCCTGGTGCGGCAAGAGCATGAGAATTGCACAAAAGGAAGACAGGGAGAAAGGTCAGCTGGGGGCAGCAGTGGGTAGGTGCAGCAGCAGAATATAGCAATCTCTTCATCTTAGGGATGCTGTGCAGGGCAGCCAAAAGGGCAGAGATGGAGGGGAGATAGGTGGGTGGGGGGAGTTGAAGTGGAGGCAGTTCATGCAGGGCCTACCTGTAATACAGCTTATACACTGTGTGCACAATTATTAGGCAAGTGAGTATTTTGACCATATCATTTTTATGCAT